TGAGGGATCTGAGCCAGCCGATAGACGTCCCCGTGCTCGACGCCACCGTCGCCGCCTTCTACGGCACCGGATCTAAGGAGGAGGTAACCGCGTCCAGCCCCGCCGCCCGCTCCCCCCTCTCCCCTTCCCCACGCGCTTGCTCGTTCGTCTCGGTCCGCCGAGCGCCGCCTCCCCTCCAGCGGGACCTAGGGTTTGGTTCGCCCACGCTTCCCGGCCATCTGCTAGATACTGCTACTAGTTGTTAGTCCACCCGCTAGAGCTCGGGGTCCTCCATGCGGTCGGGATTCAGGACTGGACGGCGGCGGTAAGTTTCCTTCTTAGCCGGATAGGGTTTGGTGGGCGGAGGAGGGTTAGCAGCGATCGTCAGCCCGAAATGGCCAAATACACCGCAGGCGGCCTGACGCTTGCTGCTCCACGTTTGTTGTATCTTCTACTATTTCGAGTTGTCCAACCTGGAAACCGATTGCATGCCACCTTACAAGGGTCTGGGTATGCAGCGCTGCCGTTGTGTTACTACTGCTGTGGTTTGTGTCGACTGAAAATGATCTGTTTTGTTTCAGAGGAGCGCCGCTGATCTGATACTTCGGGATCTGCAAAACAACCCTGACATGTGGCTGCAAGTGGTGCACATCCTGCAGAACTCCCAGAACCTCAACACCAAGTTCTTTGCCCTCCAAGTAAGCCTCTGCTCCTGAATGACTTATTTTCAGTAGTTTAGAAGGTAGTTCGCACTTGAATAAAGGTTGATTGATGCCGTGGTTGCTGCTGGTCTTGGATTAGATCATGCATGTTTTACATTCAGTACCGCCAAGCACTGGCCATTAATTACACGTGCTATTGTGGTTCACCCGTTATATTAGGAAACGCCGCTGCTAATATTTTTCTATGTTGAACTCGTAACAGGTTTTAAGCGGTTAAAATGCCTAGTCGCTTGGCTTTCAGGGTTCAACACATTTGAACATGCAGTACGCTACATGAAAATCCCATGGTGTAGAAAAGATGGATGTCTAATAGGATTCTGCTTTGGCGTGTCAGTTCAAGCGCCGTTCCGTATGCGTAATTTGTACGATACTAATTTGATTGGCTAGTTTCTGCCAGCTGTTGCGCATCTCACTATATGACTAGAATGCACTTGATTGGTTTTCCTGTAGGAGATAAAGAAAGTTTATATAGTTTGTTATATTATTAGTACTAAGTTAGAATGATCCAAAAGATACCTGGTTTGTCTGCGAGCGTAGAAACATACTTTAGGTTGTTTTCTGGGATAGACGCTATGGCTTCTCTTGTTTTCCTTCTGCCTCTTTTGGGCCTATTTTAAACCTGGTCAGGATAGTTGTCCTTCAAATATTTGCGCAATTCTTCCATCATTTTTATTTTTGACTTGAAACTGAACTCAAAAAACATGGGTGATGACGCCATGACAGCAAATGTAGAGGGGGTGAAATGGGCCAGGATAAATGTTGATGGTCCATAAGCAAGTTATGTAGCTAGTAGCTTTTATATTTCTCCTGTCATGCCAAAGTATACTACTATTATATCTAATCGTTCTGGGTGCCATCTTTGCATGAGATTTAGTTACTCGCATTACAGTTCACATTACCCTGCACTGTTCTGTTTCTGTACAAAATCTGCGCACAAGATGGACAAAATAAGTAGGAACATTAACCATCTGTCGTGTTGTTAATACTGACAAATGTACGCTTTTGGTACTAAACCTTGTATGGGGTGATGTTGGTTGGTGTCCTTTTCGTGCATGGCGGTTAGTCTACTGTAAGTATTTAAAATTGACATATATGGTTGTAATGTTTGCTATTAGAGCAGTGATAATTCTGGGCCTTTAGGGCCTGATGATTTTGAACCTTTAAGGGAATGCAAGATATTATAATGATCACCATATTTTATTGTTTGACTTTCATTTGCTGTGTGCAGTTGAGGTTATTGGATCCATATGATATGATTATGTAGGTGCATGCAGCTGCATGCTACACACGCTATTGCGTTTAACTTTTTGTCATGTATTAATTATATTACAAATATATTTTAGGTACTTGAAAGTGTTATCAAGTACAGGTGGAACGCATTGCCGGTTGAACAACGTGACGGCATAAAGAATTACATATCTGATGTGATTGTTCAGGCAAGGATTAACTTCTTTGTTAAATATGGCAAACCTTTGTCATTTCTCTCATGAAATAAATCTGATTCACGCACTCTTTTCGCTGTTCACTTTTGGCACTCTACCAGCTCTCAAGTAATGAGGTTTCCTTTCGACAAGAGAGGCTTTATGTTAATAAGCTCAACATTATATTGGTGCAGGTAAGTACTTCTTGAGCCATTTAACTCATTCACTTTTTTCGATTACCTGAATAAATGCATTTGACAACCACTTGTTCTGAATTGTGGCCAACGTAATAGGTTCTGAAGCATGAGTGGCCAGCCAGGTGGACATCCTTCATTCCTGACCTTGTTGCAGCAGCAAAGAGCAGTGAAACCATATGTGAAAACTGCATGGCTATACTGAAGGCAAGCTGTGTTTCTATTCGTATCTGCTTAATTAATGTATCAGACAATTATTAACCATGAAATTATTTGCAGCTTTTAAGCGAAGAAATTTTTGATTTTTCAAGAGGTGAAATGACACAACAGAAGATTAAAGAACTCAAGTCCTCACTCAACAGGTTCGATTTGTGGCCATCTGTCATTTGTGTCTGCCTAACAGCTTTTGTTTGATAGAGTAGAAGTAGACTCAGTTACTTTTTTTATCTCTTCTTTACTCTTTAGTTGGACTACTATTTTAGCTCTTCTGTCCTAATTCTCCTTCTTGTGAAACAGTGAATTTCGACTCATCCATGAGCTGTGTTTGTATGTCCTATCTGCAACACAAAGTTCTGAGCTGATCCGTGCTACATTGGCTACGCTTCATGCTTTCTTATCATGGATTCCTGTTGGATTCATCTTTGAATCACCATTGGTACTTTGCTTTTTTCTACATTCCTCCAGATTTTTTATCTCAGCCATTATCTTTGAAAATCCGTCTCAATTTTTCCCTTGATGGTTATTAGCTGGAGACGCTGCTGAAGTTCTTTCCTATGGCTGCCTATCGGAACCTTACACTTCAGTGCCTTACAGAGGTAAAGAAAACATATTGTTAGCTATGTTTAGTTTTGCGTTGTTTCCAACTATTCTGTTGGAGTAATGCAATGGCATTCTGTCTTTTAGTTTGATTATTAGGCTGCACTGTGTTGCGTCACATAATAGTGGCAGAAAAGTGACCCTGAAATTGACACAACATTGTTTTGACTTTCTATTTGCAGGTTGCTGCTCTTCAGTTCGGTGATTTTTATAACGTGCAGTATGTGAAGATGTACACATTTTTCATGTTGCAGCTGCAGGTGAATGATGCATTTCAGGAAAAAAAACTATGTTTTTATTCTTTCTAAAGCTTTTTGTTTGAACACTTATTAATGTATTTCTCTCTCCAATGTTTAGGCTATTCTTCCTCCTGGAACAATTCCCAATGCGTATGCTAATGGTTCGAATGAAGAACAAGCATTCATACAAAATCTGGCACTCTTCTTCACTGCCTTCTTCAAGGTCAGATCCATCACATTATGGATGTACCCTATTAATTGGTATAGATGAACTTTGACATGGAAATGAGAGATTTTTTTCTTCATAAAATATTCTTAGATGATGTAAGGATCCTGATTCTGTTATCACCACGTTCCCAGCTGTAACACAAAATGGATTTTTATAACAACATTTGTCATTGTTTTGCATGTTCAAACTCCATGATCTACAAACAGAGACATGCTAGTTGGTAATATTAGTAATAATAATGATACAAAAGTAGGAAATCTGTTCTTTGGTGTGATCCATTGTTTTGTGGTAATCTCTTTGTGGTGCATGCAGAATCATATACGCATACTGGAGGCATCTGCAGAAAATAGAGCTGCATTACTTGTTGGTCTTGAGTACCTCATTGGAATATCATATGTTGATGACACTGAAGTTTTCAAGGTAATAAATTATACTTGATTTAGCATACATATACATTAACATGGTGTAATTCTCATGATGGTTATTTACAGGTGTGTTTGGATTACTGGAATGTATTTGTCTTGGAGCTTTTTGAAGCACACAATCAAATGGAGCCTGCAATACCAGCTGTAAGCATGATTGGGCTTAAGTTGCTTTTAATTTGTTTCTGTTAGGAAAGCTGTCCATGTGATTTTCTAATGATTTAGATATATCCAGCTTTCAGTTTAAACATTTTGTCAAAAAACTATCATGAATGCTACTTCCTCCGTTTTGAATTATAGGATCTTCTAACTTCTTTCTAAATCGTATATATATAGACGTGTTTTAGTGTGTTTATTCACTCATCTTAGTCCGGATGTACCCCGTATTAAAATATCCAAATGTTTATAATTCGGAATGGAGGTGATATTTTCTTATGTTCTTGTGATATATTTCCATCCATGTGCTGCATTTTGTTCCATGTCTGTTTCTTGCTTTGTGAACTCTTTCCGTAATCAAGTTATAAATCCTTCTGGTCACACCAATGTTTAACTTGTAGGCCCAGATGATTCCTGGAGTTGATGGTACTGGTACAGCTGTTCACCAAAGGAGGCAGCTTTATGCAAGTCCACTATCAAAGTTACGAATGTTGATGATTTGTCGGATGGCAAAGCCTGAAGAGGTATTGATTGTGGAAGATGAAAATGGCAATATTGTACGGGAAACAATGAAGGATAATGATGTCCTTGTCCAATATAAGGTTGGTAACAAATTGCGAAGCTGCTGTGGTGCTTTATGGGGTCTATCATAAAACTGATGTGACACTTCTTTTTTTAATTCTAATACTAGATCATGAGGGAAACACTGATCTACTTGTCACATCTTGATCATGAGGATACAGAGCAACAGGTATGCTACTCATGTTTTCCGGATTATTTCATTATAGTTTCAGAAATTATGCAACACATATTATACACTACTGTGAGCTGGTCTGCAGTATATGTGGTACAATTGCACTCCTTTGTCTTTTTGTTGAAATGACATAAGATCTAGCCAAAACACTAACACAATTAATGACAATGAACACGATTATTCATTTGAGACTGTTCAGTAGGGAGCAAATATCTATTTTGTTTATACATTTGTTGCCCTGCTTATGTTTTCTATTTACTGCCCTTTTGAATTTAAGCCGCAACTCTGACACTTCTTTTGTTATTCCAGATGTTGAAGAAATTGACTAAGCAATTGAATGGAGAAGACTGGAGTTGGAATAACCTCAATACTCTATGCTGGGCTATTGGATCAATATCTGGTTCTATGGTGGAGGAACAGGTTTGTTCACTGTCATTATTCTCATTTATTTGGTTTCAATAAATGCTTGTGGAGGACTTGGCGCTTTACTAACTTCACTTCACATTGCAGGAGAACAGATTCTTGGTGATGGTTATTCGCGATTTGCTAAATCTCTGTGAAATCACTAAGGGGAAAGACAACAAAGCTGTTATTGCGAGTAACATCATGTGCGCGTTTGCTTCAATTCTCTCATGTTTGGAATTATCAAAAGAATATCTTTGCTGATCCAATGTTTGAATTAATAGGTATGTGGTCGGTCAGTACCCAAGATTTCTCAGGGCTCATTGGAAGTTTCTGAAGACAGTAGTCAACAAATTATTTGAGTTCATGCATGAGATGCATCCTGGAGTTCAGGTCAGTGATTCATTTACATGTAGTTTCTTCAGTTGGAACAGGAAAATTCTTGTAGTGTGAAACACGTACTCCCTCTGATCCATATTACTTGTTGCAGCTTTAGTACAAATTTAGTACATACTAATGCTGTACTAAAGCTGCGACACGTAATATGGCTTGTAGGGAGTATATTATTAGTATTTATGGTCACCTACAGTCTGCTGCTTCTGTTTTTGTTGCTGTGCATAGTTGTGCTTCCCTCTGCATTTGCAGAAAGTTTTAAGTACCTCTTCAACTGCGACATTTCCTATCCTACTTGTATGTAATGTATGTAACAAACTGCTTGTTGCAGGATATGGCGTGTGATACATTCCTCAAAATTGTTCAGAAATGCAAGCGCAAGTTTGTGACACAACAGGTAGATTCATTAATCACATTGCTTGTCTTCAATTCTGTATGTGAATTGATAGACTTTTGATTGATTTCTAGTTATGTATTACTTAGACGCATGTGGGTAACTCAATTTAGACACACATCATCACATTTATACTGTACCATACTCACCAGTTACATGCCCATTTGTTTTGTATTTCCTGCTATTTCCCAGGTGGGCGAGAACGAACCATTTGTTTCTGAACTGCTCACCAACCTTGCTACAACAATTCTTGATCTTGAGCCGCATCAGATTCATACGTTTTATGAATCGGTATGTTGAACAAATTGAGCCAGGATAGGCTATCACTCGTACTATTTGTCCCTTTTGTGCTCAATGTTCAGGCTAGCACATGATTCAAGCTGAATCTGATATTATTTGTGCCTTTGTGCTCACTGTTCAGGTTGGTCACATGATTCAAGCTGAATCTGATAATACTAAGAGGGACGAATACCTGAAGAGATTGATGAGCCTTCCTAATCAGGTTTGGTTCTACCATGAACTTTTGCATTCTTCATGCTTTCTTTTAAGGATAGTATTTACAATGTTATCTTGTGATTTGATTTGACAGAAATGGGCAGAAATAATTGGACAGGCAGGCCAAAGCATTGATATCCTGAAGAACCAAGATGTTATCAGATCTGTTCTTAACATATTGCAGGTAATAGTCGAGGCTGTATTTGATCATTGTGGCTTTACAAGTGTAAACTACAATTATGTTGGCTGTTTGTTGCTTTGAAGTTCTTTACTTAGTTTATAAATTCACTATAAGATTGTGGTTGGTAATACTTCAGGAAATGATATTTGTTAGATGACCAAACTCAGTTGCATTTCATTCCTCCAAAAGATCAGTCTCCCGAACACTTGGTTTGTGCACGGAATAGTTATCTGGACTTGCCAAATGCACCATAAACACACTTGATACCTGAACTCACAGGCTTGCTAGAGTGTTTTTATCGTAGAAAATTATAGTGCTTTTAGTTGACATTTTTACCAACCAGCCTGTATGGAGACTATGAATTAGCACTAGTATGGTATACGCTGTTCTTAGTGACACCCTCGCAAATATGCTAATAGTAGTTTGTTGCTAAAGGTGAGAATGATGTTTGCAATTGCTCCCTGGGTGGTATGGACGTTATGTTATTTGTGATTGCTCGCTTGGTACTAACATGATGTTGCTATTTGCAATTGCAGACAAACACAAGTGTTGCGACTTCGCTTGGACCACACTTTTTCCCACAAATTTCACTGATCTTCCTTGACATGCTGACAGTTTACAGGTATTTTCTTTAGCATCCCACACGATGTTAGTATTATTATAGGGTGCTGGTTAGCATCTTCTGAAGTTTTGAGCTAGGCTTGGAGAAGTAAAGATAACCTCTTCCGTTGGACTGGTCCTGCCTGGTGTCACCTGGTCCTGTAAACTTGGGCAGCCTAGTACATGATAATTTTAAGCTGGGGCAAGCCAATCTTGTCAAAACATTGTGCTGGTTCAGTCGAAATTTGCTTGTATACTAGTCCAAAATGCTACTCATTGTGCCTCCCCATTTTGTTGTCATAGTTTGAGGTTGTGCAAAGTTACGAAAAATGTGTCACAATCTAATGCATCCTTTGTGTTATATTTGTATCAGAATGTACAGCGAGCTTGTATCAAGCACTATTGCTGAAGGGGGGCCTTATGCCTCAAAGTCGTCATTTGTAAAACTCTTAAGGTAATTAATCGTTGATATCTATCCTTCTCTTTTCATTTATCTGTCTTACTGAATAATAATATAATACTTCAAACAGATCTATCAAGAGGGAAACATTGAAATTGATTGAGACATTTGTGGACAAAGCTGAAGACCTACCGCACCTTGGGAAGCAGTTTGTTCCTCCAATGATGGATCCTATTCTTGGTGATTATGCTAGAAATGTGCCTGATGCAAGGGAATCTGAAGTCCTGTCCCTGTTTGCAACAATTATAAACAAGTATTGCCTTGAATTTGATACCCATTTTTTCTCTAGCTGGGAACTAAAATGTTCTCTACTTAGTGAGTTGTAGCTTGTATGAAGATTCTTCTGTCAGTCATCTAGGTTTCATATTCAGTTATTTGTTGTTAATACTTAAATACTGTGCTGTTATTGTCCATCATTTCTAATCTTTGTATTTATACTGAAGGTACAAAGCTGAAATGCTTGATGATGTGCCTCGTATATTCGAGGCTGTTTTCCAGTGTACCCTTGAGGTAGGAATTACAACCTTGTTTTTACTGTTCATACTCAGTTACACGTCGAGATTTCACTGATTGTTCGGTCTGGCCAGATGATTACTAAAAACTTTGAAGATTATCCTGAGCACCGCCTCAAGTTTTTCTCTTTACTTCGTGCTATTGGCACCCATTGCTTCAAAGCTTTAATTCAGCTTTCCAGCCAGGTTTGTGATAACTTTTTTTAGTTACAACTATTAGCCCTGTTGATGGTATCTATTAATACAGCAACCCAAATTGCTTCTCTTTAATTTGATTATCGGACTGTTTGTTTCAGCAATTGAAGCTTGTGATTGATTCGATTAACTGGGCATTTAGACATACAGAGAGAAACATTGCTGAGACTGGTCTTAGTCTTTTGTTGGAAATTCTGAAGAATTTTCAGGCAAGAACATCTTGTCCATCCTTTCTTTGCTGTATGTAATTTTCTTTGGAAGCTAACTCTTTTATTACGGCTGCCTTGCAGGCTTCAGAATTCACGAATCAGTTCTACAAAACATATTTTTTGACTATAGAGCAGGAGATTTTTGCAGTTCTCACAGATTCATTTCATAAGCCTGGCTTCAAACTTCATGTTTTGGTGCTACAACACTTGTTTTGTGTGGTATGTTTCTTGTGCATGATTAATATCACGACATCTAGCGTTTGTATGTGTGCGTCTGTTTGATTAGGTTTGATAATATGTAGGTTGATGGCCTAACTGAACCTCTATGGGATGCATCCACGGTATCATATCCATCTAATGCCATGTTTGTACGGGACTACACAATCAAACTTCTTGGAGCATCATTTCCTAACATGACGGCAGCTGAGGTATGATCATTCTATCCTAGTACAGCCATCCTGTGATTGACTTGGAGCCATGATGAACCTGACAAATTATCTTGCGCAGGTGACCAAGTTTGTTGATGGGCTTCTTGGTTCGAGACATGACCTCCCAAGCTTCAAAAACCATATTAGGGACTTCCTGGTGCAATCAAAGGAGTTCTCAGCCCAGGTAAATTTCGTTATGCCATCACAAGATTGATGAAAACTATAACCTTACGGAAAATGTTACAATGACACCTATCAATAAAATACTTGTACATAAAATTGACCTTATGGAAACATATAATGCTTTGTGCAAGCTGTGCTCTCTTGTGATTTGTTTGTTACTGTGGCTGGCTTATTTATAGGATAACAAGGATCTGTATGCGGAAGAGGCTGCGGTACAAAGAGAAAAGGAAAGGCAACGGATGCTTGCCATCCCAGGGCTGATTGCCCCAAGCGAATTGCAAGATGAGATGGTAGACTCATAGTGCTCTGTGATTGTGCACCGCATTGCTAATCCAGTTTGATGGTCGATTAGGCCTCCAGAGGCCTCCATGTCTGTCCCGGAGCCTGAGTTTTCTTCCAGGGTGGTGGTGGTGGTGAAAGGAGGGTGCCTGCTGTAATTTTATTTCCGGTTCGGCGATTCCAAGATTTGTGTTGCTAGTTGATGATAGGGGAGAATTTTGCCGCAAGAGGTGCTCGGGTGAGCCTTGCGGGCTGTTTGGTTGGCTAGATGGTTGTGTTTAGTGCTCGGTGAAACATTTTGTGCGTGTGCTGAGCATGATATAGTATGGATGTTGATCCTTAATTGCTAGTTTAGTCTATAGATTTGATGACTGTATTATGGTGATGATGATGTATCAAGTGACTGAATTCGGTCTTGGGCTGGTAGGAAACCTCATAGTCCTCCTAGGGCTTGATACTCTTGTTATGTGAAATATGTTTCTTCTGCATTTTGTGAGCTTTGTTGGGCTGTTTTGCATCTGTGGTTTAAATCATCGAGTTTTTTTTTTGAGTTAATAAATTATGGAGTTAGGAAGGAGCTCCTCTCTTGATGAGTGGATGTGCTTAGCCTTGCCTACCTTTTGATATATCAGTTGGTGGTGCATGTGTGTCCAATATGTATATATATTGTCATATACTTCTTCAATCAATGTTTGTGTAAGTAAATAAGAATTTATCGTGTAAGTTGGAACCATTCTTGATGTGGTAGTCAGTTTTTGTTATACATGCGAATGTTGAAAAGCAGCAGCATATTCTACCCGTGGTGGTGGTGCTCTACTAGTACTGATGATGGACGGACGGTCTCGGTCCAAGACTGAGCTTTGACGAGCAAAGCAAATATCTCTCTTTCCTCCGTTTGTTCTTCTTTATGCAGACTAGTCTACTGGTCTCAAAGCACCCCACACATATATCTATCTATCATCTGCGTTGGGAAACCATAAAGCAGCGGTGCAGTTGCAGTGAGCGGCTTTGTTACGGCCGTTGCTGGACAAGAGGCCACGTCGCAATACCATCTCTCCATCTTTCTAGTGTGTGTTCACTGGATCAGTGCACAGTGCTAGCTCCTGTAACCCCGGGCCTGAGATTTGTTAGCTCAAAATGAAGTATTAACAGTCCGAACTTTGCGTACATAGATTACACACATTCAGCATCAGTAGAGTAAATCTAAGCGTAGCGATAGCTAAGTAGGTTTGCTAGTTGCCAGCCGGATGTATACACTCGTAGCGAGTTGCTGCTGTCGGTCTGCAGTCTCCGGAAATGTGGCCGTGGAGGAAGATGTCGGTTTCCTGTCCCTCCGTCTTCATTTACTTTCTTTGTGCATAACTCAATACCCGGACACAATGATCATTATCACAGTGTGCGCACGCACGTGTCGCTCCGCCATTGGTCGATCAGCCTCTACTGTATTCTATTCTATTCTATTCTATTCTATTGTGCAGTGGGTGTTGTCTGGGCCACCCTTCTTTCCCTTATTCTGCATTGTGTATTCTTTACGAATGTCCTGCTTCACGTTGACGAATCATCTACTTATTGGCCGGTGATGCAGACCACCGACTCTCCATGGTACTACGTACAAACATACGGTCGCCATGAGCCTACCTACGTACGTGTTGGCCCACGATTCGCTCAGCAGGCTGTCGCAACATACACATACGTACGCACGTGTTCACCATTGCTAACTCGATCAGCTAACCTGAGTGTGACCGGGGACGTAAATAAACGTGATGGCGACACATTCAGTCAGGCAGGCATGCCTGAACCTTGCAATCGAACGCACAAATATAGAGTACCAGAGTCTATCAACTAGTACTAGTAGTACTAAGGGCATCTCCAACCCGACCTCCAAATCGCATCGTCCGTGGACAGAGGAGACCAGTCTATGATACGGGAGCCAACCATCTAACGCTATTCTTCCAAATGTCCGCCAGTATGATTAATTTCAAATTCAAATCTGTCTGATCATATAGCGCACACCTGGTCAAATCAACCCTGAGCACAACCAAAAAAAATATCAGTCCGACAGTTCATGCAAAAAAAATATGAATCTTCTCCTCTGCTGGACATGCAATCTGAACCTCCACACTCAGTCCGCCGCTGCCTCTGCCTCCTCCGCCGTCTCGGCCACCTCCTTTTCTGGCGCCTCCAACTCTTCCTTCTGTCGCTTCAACATATTGAAAGGACGGCTTGCACGATCATCCTTGCGTCGTCATCTAAATCCCCTATCTTCAAGGTCAACATCTTCGTATCCTCTGAAGCGGCTGCAATCTCAACCTTTCTCTCTTTGAGCATGATCTTCTTCTCTTCGACCTTGAGCTTCTTGTTGGTCGCTGCCAGCAACATGTTAAACCTCTCCGCCTTTTTTCCTCCTTGACGTCAGAGCGCTTGACGTATGCCTCCTCCTTCTTCGACAAGATGTCCTTGAACCTCTCCATCATCTTGGGCGCCTCCCCTCTTGCTTCGCCCTCTCCCTCTCCCACTTCTTTCGATGAAACCCTCTTCTAAACTTCTTGGGTGCCATCCCTCTTGCTTCGCCCTCTCCCTCTCCCACTTCTTTCGATGAAACCCTCTTCTAAACTTCTTGGGCGCCGCCCCTCTTGCTTCGCCCTTTCCCTCTCCCACTTCTTTCGATGAAACCCTCTTCTAAACTTCTTGGGCGGTTCTTTTGTTGGGTCGGTTGGAGCACCGGTTTCTTCCTCGGTGCCATGGGCGATGGTCTTGGTAATGTATAGATTTCACTTGGGTTGTCCATTCAATTTCAATCAACAATGCATGATGGTGAAGTTTTTCTTCTCCAACTTCAAGAGCACACTACACGCATGGGAAGGCTATAAAATAAAACATTGTTAACAATGCATATCCGGCCAAATGATCAACAAAACAATGCATATCCGACCAAATGATCCATAAAACAATGCTATCCGGCCAATTGATCTTTAAAACAATGCATATCTGCCCAAGTGGTCTACAGAACAATGCATTTCCGGCCAAATGATGAACTTACTCACTTGACGATTTGCGCACTACTTGGCTGCCGTGCGATAGTTGCCTCAAGTGGCTCAATACTTCTACACGGCCTCTTAGATGATGTACCATCGATGTGAAGGAAATATGCCCTAAAGGCAATAATAAAGTAGTTATTTTATATTTCCTTATTCATGATAAAGATTTATTATTCATGCTAGAATTGTATTGATCGGAAACTTAAATACATGTATGAATACATAAACAAATACTGTGTCCCTAGTATGCCTCTACTAGACTAGCTCGTCGATCAAAGATGATTAAGGTTTCCTAACCATAGACATGTGTTGTCATTTGATAATGGTATCACATCATTAGGAGAATGATGTGATGGACAAGACCCACCCGTTAGCCTAGCATAATGATCGTTCAGTTTATTGCTATTGCTTCCTTCATGTCAAATACATATTCCTTCGACTATGAGATTATGCAACTCCCGAATACCGGATGAATACCTTGTGTGCTATCAAACGTCACAACGTAATTGGGTGATCATAAAGATGCTCTACAGGTATCTCCGAAGGTGTATGTTGAGTTGGCATAGATCAAGATTAGGATTTGTCACTCCGGGTTTCGGAGAGGTATCTCTGTGCTCTCTCGGTAATACACATCATAAGATTGCAAGCAAATGACTAAGGAGTTAGTTACGGGGTGATGTATTATGGAATGAGTAAAACGACTTGCCGGTAACGAGATTGAACTAGGTATAGAGATACCGACGATCGAATCTCGGGCAAGTAACATACCGATGGACAAAGGGAATTACGTATGTTGGCATAACGGTTCGACCGATAAAGATCTTCGTAGAATATGTAGGAACCAATATGGGCATCCAGGTTTTGCATTTTTTATTGACTGGAGAGGTGTATCGTTCATGTCTACATAGTTCTCGAACCCGTACGCTCCGCACGCTTAACGTTCGTTGATGATATAGTGTTATATGAGTTATATAATTTGGTGACCGAATGTTGTCCGGAGTCCCGGATGAGATCACGGACATGACGAGGAGTCTCGAAATGGTCGAGAGGTAAAGATTGATATATAGGAAAATGGTGTTCGACCACCGGAAGAGTTTCAGAGTGCACCGGGTAGTCATCGGGGCACCGGAAGGGGTTCCGGACATCCCCGGCAAGTGTATGGGCCTTATGGGCCAAAGGGGGAGAAGCACACCAGCCCACAAGGGGCTGGTGCGCCCCTTCTACCCCTTTCCCACGTACCAAAAAGGGAGGGAAGGAAGGGGAAGGCGCCCCAAAGGCAGCCAACCCCCCTTTCCTTCCCCCATACACAAATATGAAAAAGGGGATTCGGCCAGAACAGCCGCTCTAGGGAAGCCGCCAGCCACTTGGGGCGCCCTAGGGGCTGCCTTCCCTCCCCCTCCACCTATATATATGAGAGGAAGGAGAGGGGCAACACACACCATGATTCCCTAGCAGTGTGCGGTGCCCCTCTCCCTCTAGTTTGTCCATCGGTCATATTTTCGTAGTGCTTAGGCGAAGCCCTGCAAAGATAACTTCACCATCACCGCCACCATGCCGTCATGCTGCTGGAACTCATCTACTACTTCGCCCATCTCGCTGGATCAAGAAGGCAAGGGTGTCACCAAGTTGAACGTGTGCAGAACTCGAAGGTGCCGTACGTTCTGTACTTGGTCAGTTGGTGCGCGAAGAAGTTCGACTACATCAACTGCATTACTAAAAGCTTCCGCTTATGGTCTACGAGGGTACGTAGACACACTCTCCCCTCTCGTTGCTATGCATCTCCTTGATAGATCTTGCATGGGCGTAGGATTTTTTTTGTTTTCATGCAACGTTCCCCAACATGATGGTTGAGAGACTTTGCGCCACGGTTGCGGATGAGCGCATCGGCGTAGGGATGGAAATGCTTGTGTTCATGGAACCAAGAGTGAATGTTGGCCCAAACTATTGTGCCGTTTTGCTCCGTGCCCAATCATGCATTACACAAC